GCTGTGTAGTCCACATAGGGAAAAAACCACGAGAATATATTTTGTCTGATCCTGGCCTCCCATATCAGACAACTGGTATAATTTGGTTACGGGGCTTGTATTTCAAAAGACCACCGGTTGGTTAGTGGTGAGACTAACAGGAAATGTAGGCATTACTGCAGAATCTCTGTTTTGGTGATATGGCATGCATTTATTTATCTCAGATACTGGCTTAAAATTGCTGTTTTAAAGCCTGATTTTATGATGATGAGAGGAATAGAAAAAGGATATGCAAGGTAATGTAGATTGGAAAAAATGAAGATTAAAAAGATTGGTTTAACAGGAAGGAAGAGGAAAAGAAAAACTCATTGCATGTTTGGAAACAAATAAAATGAACAGGTGAAATTATGGAGCAAAAGGACAAGTTTATGCACAACAATTCTATGGACTCTTAAGGCATAAGTAATTTTATTTAACTTGAGCTGTCATCGTCTGAAGTTGTCACCATAGATTCCCTCTAATGCCCATGGAGAATAAGAGGTGCTTTTAAAACATGATTCAGCTGACCTATTTTAGCCATCTACTTCAGGATAAGATGAATCACACCCTAAAGTGACTATTTCTCTCCATTAATTATGAAAAGAGTCCAGAGTCACAACCTCAGATGTAGATGTCTCAGTTATAGATTTTTGTATTTTGTGGATGAATCCCACTATTAGAGCCTATAGATTCTGACACATCTTCACTTTTTTCCATAATTTCTCGTTGAAAAAAACAGCTAGTATGGAGAAATAGAGGAGATACACATATATTTGTATCTGGTCCAATTTACTGCAGAATGGCTGGAAAATTGACATTATATGTGTCAAATGTTGACATTTTGATGAAAAGAAATCAACCCTCAAAATACTTCAGTTGAGAAAGAAAATAATTCCCTGTGGAAATACTGACATAAGGCTTCATGGCAATGACAGGTCAGTACTTCAGGCTTGCAACCTTCACTGTAGGATAGTCTCTGCCTGGACTACATACTCCAGGATTCATTCTTGTCCCTGCCATTGGTGATCCTGGTGGTGCTGCTTGGGATCCTCATGGTCACGACAAATCACAAGAGATGAACCCAGCTAAGAAGCCAGAACCAGTCAGGGGAGACTGGGAGCATGAAGCAGTGAAATTACACGTTCTGCAAGGTGTCAAAGTGGCACAATTTTAACAGAAGTATATAGGGTTTACATGCAATGATAGTAAGTTAATGTTTCAAACAAGCACATGACATTTTTAAAAAGAAAGTTAGTTTGGAATCAGTAACATGACATCTCAACATCCAGACTGATTACACAGTCTTCAAGGAAAGCTGAATTATGGTTGTATGCTTATTCCTTATGTTGCTGCTGTATTTCACGGCTCTTTGTAATCTAAGTGGCCACACACTTTCATAGGCTTATGATCATATTCCCTTCCCTTCCCTTCCCAAACCTTCCCTTTCCAAATCTTCTCTTCCCAAAACTTCCCAAACCTTCCCAAACCTTCCCAAACCTTCCCTTTCTTTTCTCTTACTTCCTCTCACAGCCTTTTGTTTTCTCTCTTGTCACAGAACTGTGGATGGTGCTAATAAACTTAATACTCATTTTACCAATGTCAAGTTAGTAAAAAGTACTTCCCAGTATGGAGAAGAGAGCAGAAAAACACAAACAAATTGGATATGTTTGACAAGTTATCAAATCAAATTTAAGTTTAAAGATATGCATAAGTTAAGTTCAGAAACATCTTTGAAGATAAATCTTATGCATAACATTTCTAGACATAACATCACATTCAACTTACAGAGGCTGCATTACTCATGTGCATAAAATAGTAACCTTTGTGAATGGTCTAAACAAATTTTGCTCTTCAAGAAGCCAGAGTTTATGACTCCCGATTCCAGCAGGAGAGATTTGAAAGGTAAGAAACTTAATTTTAGTATTTCTTTAAAATAAAATCTCAGTTTTAAAAAGAAGGCCAAAGGCTGAACAGCCTTTGAGGTTTTGAGTTTCCATCAGAGAGCTCTGCTGATATTGCATTATTTTTCAATAAAACTAAGGTGGAGAAATAGGCTACTCTTAGTATTATTTGGAATTTAAAATCATCCACTTAGTATATGATAAGATGCAAATAAAAAAATAGACTTTAATGATACACATTAGGCACAACCAAAAGCTGTAATGACATAGCCAAGAACTCAGAAAAAATTGCCTATTAAATATGAATAATGTTTTGTATTTGATTATGTATTCACATATTATTTGTTTTTACAGATGTCACCTACATTTTTCCATACCTTTATCCCCTCTCTCTCTAACTTCCAAGCTGCCATAGCCTTCTCGGTTCAATGTCATCCTCACAAGCGGTCCTTTAACTTGACTCCATTTTCACTCAGTTATGAAATCCTCTGTCAGTTCACTGTTCACAGAAACAATCTCAGAATTTTTATTTGGGCTTAGACACCCTTAAACTGTCCTGATCTCTCTTCTATCCAAGAAGATCTCCATCTGATTTATTTGTGTGTTCCTTTTCTGTACTGGCTATGCCCTTTGCGTGGCTCCCTACCTCAGAGGGTAAAGGCTTCCTGCTTACTTCCTAAATACCCACCCCAGTTCACTGTTCAGTGGGATAGGTGTGCATGTGCGTGGACTAACTCCCTGCAGGTTTGGGACTGACTGTCTGGAGAGCAGCTTTGTTAAGGATCTGGGCGGAAGTAGCCTAAACATGAACCAGCAGTTCATGTGCCCTGGTAGTCATGAAACCTAATGGTGTTTTGGGCTCTTTAACAAAATGAAAGGTTGGACCCTTCCAGCCAGGGTTCTTCTATGGTATTAATTGTGTTAGTGGTATTTTGAGGCAATGATTATTCTCCTATACTTGGCCACATCCAGATATTGTGTTTGGTTTTGGGAATCCAATGCAAGCAAGACAAAAATAAGTATAATCCAGGGGCTACAGCACATTTCCTGTAAAGAATATCTTTAGCAGTTGGGTTTCGTTCAGTCTGAAGACGTTACTGCAGGGGGACCTCAGAGCCACTTATGAATAGGCTACTAAGATGGCAGAGATAAGTCTATCACTGAGGTGCATGGCAAGAGATCAAGAGATAATAGACTTACCCGGAACGGGGGAGATTCTGACTCTATATAAGGAAAAATTTTTTAAGTGTGAGGAAAATAAAGCACTGGGGTAGGTTGCCCAGAGATGCTGTGGAATCTGCCCCTGGAGGTTTTCAAGACCTGACAACCTGGCTTGTGAATTCAGTGTTGACCTTGTTCTTAGCAGAAAGTTGGACTAGACACGTCCTGAAGACCCTTTCAACCTACATGAGTCTGTGATACTGTGAAACCTCTGTTGAAAATGTTTTCCCAAGAGTTTCTTACTTGTCCAAGTTAGAATGGGTTTGGATTTATATCAATGTTACGAGTCCTTTTAAAATTTCAAGCCTTTGCTCGCAGGCACAGAAGACTTGGAGCGCTTCAAAGGAAAGACTGCCAGAATTTTTTCAGTGTATACTAAACAAGATTATCTCCCTGGAATCATTGTTGGATACTACTGAGTAATTTTATCTGAAGTGTTTGAAGAAAGCAAAATGAAGTCCGAGGCAAAGTGAATGTAAAAAAAAGTCTAATTCTCAGACTCTTGGTGGTCTACCACTAGTGCTACCAAAGTTGTTGCTAATCCTTCACAACTACAGTGGAAACTCAGCTCCCCATACCACCAGCTAGACATCACATGTTGATAACCAGGCAATTAGCCAGACATTAGTCCTTTTTTAGTGAGAAGTCTTGGTTTGGAAAATTAAGAGGTAAACCTGAATATAGCCTATTTTATCATCTGTTCTTATTGTTTTTAAGTGGTTTTGCATGGGATTAATAATTCAATGTACTGGCCAGTTGTGAAAATTATGCCTGGTATCAGCTGTAATCTTATAACTGAATTTCTCCTCTCTCTCCATGTCCCTCACACATCTAAAAAAGTTTATTGCTGACCAGCTGTAAGATTTTCCTCTGAGATTCCTATAGTATTTTCAAATACATATAGCTATCTAAGAGATGAGTGCTAATATCTAGCAAAGTTAATAAAAAATGAAAACAAGGCTACATCTATAAGTAAAGATAGACGATAGCCACCAACAGAAAGAGAACATAGAGTGCATTTTTTCATTTTCTGTGATGCATAAGGTGAAAGATAGAGCCATGTTGATTAGGCTTGGAAGCTGGGGGTTATTATAGAAAAATGCCTAATTAAAAAAATGAATTGCAGAAAAAATTAAACTGTAACATGATGGGAAGTATCTAGAAAATGAAATAAACAAAGAAAAGAAAAGCTGAAATATAACACCTTCAAAAAGTATTTTCCTAAATGAAATCAGCATAGAAGAGAAAGGGAAAACAGAAAGATACTTGCCTGCATGTGTTTGAATGGTTATCAGAGACAAGAGTGTTGATTAAACTCATAAATGATGTTATAAGTGAACTTTATATATGGAAGGTCCTTTGGGAGTTAAGAAACTGTGCGTACTCTAAGCCTTACAGCTGATGTCAACGGTTTCATTCCATATTTTCTGAAGAAGCCAAGAAAAAGCCAACCAGTTTGTAAGGTGTTCAGAATGGGCAGAATTACAGCAGAAGAACCCAGATAGAGCTACAGATTTATGTGCAGCAATTTTCAGGTCTAGAATAGGAAATGGACTTCCTTGTATTAGAAGGGGCAAGTGAAAAACACCTTTAAAGTCCTGAAAACAGGAATGAAAATTTGTAAAACTACTTTCAGAAAACCTGCCAGATTTTTCCTAACTTCAGGATGCCACACTGCTTCTGCTATTAATATTCACTTGAAAAGCACAAAGACTCTATCAGACAACTCTATGTTCCTTGTCACTTTAGTTCATTTATATAAGTGAGGTGTGTGATGGCCTCTTGTTGAATATTGGTTTGAAATTTAACTCAGTAGGGTTCTCCTTATCCATACCAATGCCTTGCACATTTCTGACTCACCTCACTTGAGTTTGAAAGGTTGTTTCAGGGTAGTAGCTTCCACAGTCCTTCCTCGCTAGCTATTTCCAGGTGGATATTGACATTAGTTCTTGTACTCCAGGAGTTTAGGGGCAGACATAAGTGATGGCATGCTTTGCCCTGAGCGAATACTGTGCATGTAACCGTCCGCAGCACTGCAGTCACTAGCCAGACCACCGTTTCCTGAGGCCTAGATAAAAATATTTCCTTCACCATAATGACCCTAGGGGAATGAAAAAAAAAAACCAAAACCAAAACAAAACTGAACTTTCCATACAGACCTTTTATTTTAAACAGCCAATGTTATATTTCTGCCAAACTTAGAAGGTGTTTTTGATTATGTAGCTTTCAACTACCATGGAATTAATATAGAAAAACTTGTGTTCTTCAGGGAGCCCTGTCATACATCTGCAAAATAAGGTTCTTTTTATGTACCTACACATTAACATTGACATCCACTCCCTCATTTAATTAACAACATTTGAATGTTGTTTCCTTTCATGTAGTAATTGTATTTTTTTCCTAAATGATCTCTTGTTTTGTAGAAAGATACAATTGGAAAATGTCAAGATTTGTCCAGAAAAAAAACCAGTAACAATAAGGGGTTCCTTTTTGCCTCGTGGTTTTTGAATCTGGCCTTTCTTAGAGAGTTTTGAGAAAAAATTTGTTGTGGGAAATGAACCTCTAGATTTTGACTTGAGAGGAGAGCTTTCTAAATTTTTTTGTTTCTTTCTTTCAGTGAGTGCAAAGCTAACATTCTGGGTCTGGAAACTTTCATGTCTTTAGGACCCTGGTAGCAACTATAAATAGTTGTGGTTGTTAATGTAGGTACACATGCTGGAGAATCTAGAACATGTATTACATGTTTGCCGAGAAGTTAAATTCCAAAAAAGGAGCAGCTAAAACTGCATTAGTAATGCTTCACTTTAACAAGCAGATAAAGGATCTATCGTGGAGGAATGCAATCCACTGTTCACTACCTACTTGAATTTCTTTAATAAAGCCAGCGACCTCATGAATATTAAAATGAGTCCTGGGTTATGTGTCCTTATGTAAGGTATTCCTCTTGTATCTGATAAATGGTGTCCCTGCAGTTATTAAAAAGAAGAAAAGAGAGGAAAGTAAGGTTAGATCACAGGGGAAAGGTCAACCTGTTGGGAGGGTTCTTAGTACTCTTTGTTCAGTACTTTATCAAAAGAACCAGGAGATAATGTGTAAATAGTTTGTGTTTTTTTAAATCAGAATTTAAGTGCATGAAAGGCAATCCTTCCATTTATGAAACATCTATGTGTGTACAGTAAGAAAACATTGTAATGATTTTTGTGTTTTTTTGCTTAGCTGAAAAATTTCTTCAAATTAAATACTTTTACAGATAGGTGATAGTTATTCTCTTACAATAAGCCTAGTCTTTTCTAGTAGTTTCTCTGGTGATTAAAATATGTATATAATTATCATAGTAAGAGAGTAGACTAACTTCGCAGCTGGAACAAAAATAAACTTTTTGAGTAGCTCTGGGATAAGATATCTGGACATTTCTCCAAAAATCCCTAATAAAAAAATAATTTATTCTGAACATTTTTTAATTGAATTAGTGAAATTATTTAATTAATACCCTTATTTTTGTGTGAGGTTTCCTAGAAGTGGAAATTTCTAAAGTTCAATCATAAACAATTTTGAAGAATATCCTTTCCAAGAAATTCGGAAAACTAATAGGAAGAAAAGACTTGTAACAGACATTTTTAACTAGTTGTATGCATCCAAATGAAGAAATAAAAGTTCTGAAGGTTCGTATAAGCAATATCAAAAAGCATGTTATGCTGAAGGTCTATTTCCAGCTCAAATTATGGCACTTTTTTTAGCATATATTACCTTTCTTTGTCTCTCTCACCAGTCCCCACAGTCATTTGCCTTGTAAAGAAGACATTTTGCACTGTTTCCAGAAGAAAAGCATTTTTGATCAATTAGGTCAGAAACAGCTCCTGTGAAAAAAAAATTAAAAACATCTTACAGGTAGTAGTTTATCCCCTTTAATACCTCCATTAATATTAAATAAATCCTGCAAATATGGTGTCTTGGTTTTGGAAAATATATTAATTGGGTGTGTGTCAGGAATAAAATCCGGGAACTCACTTTTAATATTTCCTAAATCAAAAGCTTCTTGTTCTTAACAGCTAGTCCATTTAGATTTTCCTTCCAACTGCCCCTTCCAAAAATCAGCTCCTTCAGATGACTGCTGCACTCCAGTGCTGTCTGTATAGGTTACAAGCAGTGAAATACGTTACAGCCATCCTCATTTATACTTGTCCTGGTGTCAATGTTACTTCCATACATGGCTGAAAAAATACACAATTTTTCTTAGTGCTCAGAGCCAAATTTACTACCAAGCAGCTCTGTAAACTGCAATGAAGTGCTGAGGTTTTTTTGGGAGTCTGACCCAAAGTACATTTCAAAAGCAAAAGAAGACTCTGAACACGTGAGTCTTTTTCTGATTTCATATATTTCAATGTAAATCACGCACATATATTTGAAAATAATTATATAAATGCATGCAAAGTCGGTTAATTTTATTAAGGATTTTTATTATTGATAACTCATAGGTCCTTTGGTTAGTAGTCTATGTTTTGGACATTGCTAAGCAATATTTACTGATAAAGTAGGAAGCATGTAACATTAGAAGACAAATCTCTTAAAAGTCCACAACTTCAAATAACTTTTCTTAAATGTACTCCTATGGATAGACCCATTAAGATCAATAAAATTACTCATGTGCATAAATCTAAGCATATGCAAATGTACTTGAAGACAGGAGATTTAGCTCTTAATTATTTTAGGTCACTGAAGGAAATGGAGGCCACCGTGTCTCCCAGAACAGGTGACAAATCTGCTTAGAAAGGTAATATGGAAGTGGCATAAGGAAACGGTGTATAAAGCAGTCTCATCCAGGAATACATAAGCACACTGATGCTGCCATAGAGGATCCAACTGGGGAATGGCTGATCTAGATAATTATATTGCAAAATCTTTAGAGGAGACATCCCATACAAATTTTAGAAAATACAGATTAGGGACTCAGGTAGCTCCTGGATGCATAATTCACTCCAAATAATTTGTTAGACAAATCTCATCTCCTTTTTCTATTTGTGAATGGTACAAGAGTAGTTTATGATTTTCTTAGATTTATTATTCAGAATTATTCCCTGAATGAAGGTGTATCATTTATGAACACTTCACAGTGAGTTTTTGATATTCAAAATTTGGCGTTCAATATTGTTATGTCAGTTAGTTGGAGCAGAACATATCACGTGTTTCTCTGAGTGGAAGTAACTCAAAGTCAGGTTTTCAATTGTAAACCATCATATTTCAGAATTCAAAAATCACTTTCTATTCCCATTTTTCAGTAATCACAAGACAACTCACAAACATTCTGGCTAAAGGCACATTTGTTCAAAATTAAAACATTATTTTCATGGAATTATTTTGTTCTATTATGTCTCTATTTATGTCCTATAATGTCTCTACTACTCAGCTATAACAAGAAGGTTTATCAAAAAGAATATCATCATTTAAACCCCCAAAATAACAGGGATAATTTTGTCCAGTTGCATAATCCCCCAACAGGGATATTGTGGAATGTCCCATGCCTTATTCATCAGTCCTAATGTGTTAAGAACAAAACTTCCAAAAGTGACACCAATAACGACTTAAACCTTTAGCTGTCTAAAATCAGTCAGAGGGAAGTGTTTGAGAATGAAGAGGCTCGTATACATCTTTAGAGTATTTTCTCGTATGCTCATAAAATGAGAGAGATTTCTATCTCTGCTTCTGGACAACTATTTCCCATATCATGGAACAAAACTTTTTTGTTGTTTTCCTGCTGCTGGAAAATTCTATGATAAATAGAAGATTGTAAAAACATGGGTAAAATAAAAGGCGGGGGGGAACATCTTGAAATAGTTCCTGGCTCCTATTTTTTTTTTAGGAGGAATAAAATGGCTAAAGAATCAGAAGTGATATATATACAGAAATCATAGAGCTCTTAACACCAGCAATATTTAGTAATTTCTTAGCCCTGGCTTGCAGTCAGTCATCCTAATCATCTGCTCAGAACTGAACTTCTTCGGTGTAGTTGAACTATATCAACAGAAACAATTTTTTCAGGGAGAGTAAATGTATCGCTATGAACAGTTTGATGAAAGACTGAATCTTTGTATTCCTGGAAAGTAAGTCTTCCTGTAACAAGCAGCTAATGTTTGAACATGTCAAAGGGAGCCTTTTAGAACAGGAGATAAGAGCGCTTGAATGATTATTGCAAAGTAGTAACTGGCTAACTGGTCCAAAAGAAAATGTTGTGTACAGTAATTTATTCTGGGAGTTCCATTTTCCTCAGACTTGAAAAGATCTTTACGGTGAGTCAGTACATTGGGTTTCATTTCCACTCTCATTTGGGAGAATCGGGTCTGAAATGCCCACTGTACAAGGAAACATTTTATTCCTACAGGCAATGTTATTGGCATAGACAGTGGTAAGATAATGGTCAGATCCTTATTAGGAATGGCTCATAACATATTGTCAGTCTGAGGTGGGGTATTTGTTCATGGTTTTAATTTTAACTATGCTGTTAAATGCTATGCTGCAGAAGCTTTAATGTTTAAGCAACTGTATTAATCTAAAAGTACTGTTATTGATAAAAATTCTTTTTCTTTTTGAATTGGGGAATAACACACCATCAGAAATCTTTTATTGCTGGCATAAGTTACAGCTGTGCTAGAGGGGATAGCTACACTAACCTAGTGTCACTATCTCAGCATGTGGCCTGTTCAAAGTCATTGTTTACGTGGACTTTCTACCATATGGAGTTATCAAAATTTTCTTGCAGAAACTTCAGTGCAGCTTTGCGCTTCCAGAATGACAATACAGCAAGAGAGACTTTGTTTTCTCTTTTTCTCCTTTGAAAAAGTAAAAAAAGAGAAGGAAATAAGGGAAAAGAAAGAAAAAGAAAGAAGAAGGTAAAGGAAAAGAAAAATAAAAAAGAAAGAGTTCACTCTTCTCTTAGTAATCCTGTCCCATTAGAAATGTATATCATAAATATTAACATGTATAAGTATATACATATATTAATATTTGTAAAATTTCATATTTTGGGTATCTCACTCCTCGCTTTAAAATGCCTGAATCTGACCATGCTGGCAATTTCACCTCTGTGAAAAGGAGTAACTCTTTCTCTGAGGGGTGCCCTATGATTGTCCTGTGGGTTGGACCAGCCTCTGCACCCAGCGAATGTCTGGGCAGAAAACATGCTTCTTTAGCACATGCGACATCCTGTGAGCCCCAACACACGGGGCTTTCTTAGGTGGTATTAATATGTAAGTAGGTGGTTAGGACCCTGCCAGGCATTTTTTGGGCGGGCTGCCCAAGGCCCTGTGGGTGTGGGTTGCATGCAGGCACAGTGTGCTCTTGTCTGGTCCTGGGAATGCATTTTGAGCAAGTGAGGTAGATAAACCTCTGGAAACCTGAGTAAGACAAACTGTTCCAATTCATGTTAAGAGGGGAAAGGAAATGAATAAACATTATAAATATTTGTTAGTCCAGCAAAAGCAAAGAGCATTATTTCATGCACAATAAAGAGTAAGAGAAATAAAAGGTAAGTAAGAGTAAAGGGAATTTTTGAGCCCTCCTCTGCATCAAGAATACCATAAAAACACCTAGAAAGATTCAGATGTATGTAGATAAATGAATGTACTTCAGGAGTCTTTGTGAGTGTGCGCACAGAGCTCCTAATAAAATAATGTATGGTGAGAAAAATATCACTTTGATGAATCTGAATGTTTTCCCAAAATTTGACAAATATTGCTCCATTAAAAATCTGATTAGAAGAATATTTCCTTGGTCCACTCTGGGGCTATGAAGTCTTCCATATTTACTGCTGAAGAAAGAGAAGCCTCGAAAACTTGAGCTGCAGCTCCTCAAATCTGGGCTTCAGAAGAGTAATAATGTAGCAGTTCCAAGACAAAATGGTCTCTCAAGGCCTTTATGCCAGCTAGTCCTACAAAGTCACTGGGTGGGAATTCAATAGTGGCTGCATTCCCTTCTGTCTGCCTTCCAGGTGTGTTGCAGATGCATGCATATTCTGGTTCTGGAACATCACCTGTCCAGGTTTCTAAAATGGGGTTTTGAAACTCCAGTTGGTGAAAGATTGCTGAATATTTGATTTTATAATTAAGGTGGAAGGAGATACCACATCAAAATACTGTAAGAAAAATTGTGTTTTGCATAACTATACTCTAGCCTCCTTGGTGTTTTCATAGATCATTGATTAACTATGTACAAGGAAATCTTCCTTTTCCAAGGAAATAACATGTATATATATAATTTTTTAATCCCTGCAAACACAGTAGCAACAGTTGAGATGGTGTGGAGATAAGCTTCTGATAGGGCTTTGGTATTGCTGGTGGGAGTATTCAGTTACTGGAACAAGTCCATCCTACAGAAAATATAGCAAAATTACTCCAATGGCTAACATTGGTGGCACTAGGACAACGGTTCAGATAACACAAAGCCACATACAAATAAATATGAAGATGGGAAGCATGTGGTTGTATGGAAACTCAAAGCAGATGGTGGAACAACTTAAGAGTAGAAAGATCAAAGTTACAGATATAACCAGTTAGATCAGAAAACTCCAGCAAAAGGACTGGTAGTAATAACGGACAATATACTGAACAAGAAAAAAAGACAATGCTGTCACAGAAAAGACAAATGCTATGCTAGGTTGTGTTAATTGGAGCATCATGTATAATACAAGGAAGACAGTTTTTCCACTCTGTTTTATTCGGTTGAGCTTCATCCAGAGAGCCGCTTTTAGTTTGGGCTAACACATTTTTCAAAGGACACAGACAAATAAAATGGACTTAAGAGAAGGACATAAAAAATGATATGAGATGTTGAAAATAGGGCTGAGGAGAAAAGCTTAAGAGGCTG